GGAGCTGTCCTTTATCAAAGGAACCTTAAATCAGCCTGCATGAATAGTTTCTCTGTGGCTGCACCACAGAGATGAACAGAGAAATGGGGCCTCATTTGGGAAAGCTCAGAACACTTAATTCTTTCTTATTAAAAAGCCTCGCCGCTACACAGCAAACTACTTGAACTAAAATAAATGTATGCAGTATATCACGTGGGTAGCTGCGTCACCATGCATAGCCTGCAAAGGAACAAGTGATAGGTTTATTATATGCTGAAAAGAGATGGAATAAACCTATTACTTGTTCCATATGCAGTATATGATTACAAAATGTGCAGTAACATTTAAGAGCAAGTACTTAGAAATCCAAATCGTGTTACATCTTGGAATAGACAAATGGGAAAAGGATGTAGAATACATATAGTGGGCCTCTGAACTTGGAGAGGGTCAAGAAGAAAAAGACGGCTTGTGCAGTGGAATAGGGAGAGAATTACATGGTTGGAGAAACAGACAGGAAGAAGATTAATAGAAATAGAAGGCTACTCAAAAGGACTAAAATATAATTACTGTGTAAGGGCACAGCCAGTTCAGACAAGATGGCAGCCTTATCTGCACCACATTCCCCAGATATGTGACCAGTTATGAGAAGACAAATGAACAGGTGACTGTTTAGAAGGAAGTAAGAGGAGGCTTTCTGGGTCAGTGATATCTGCTGTCATGGGGTGGGAAGGAGCTGACAGAAGGCAGATTATTTGTGTGCTCAATTCACCAGAGAGAGAAGGACTGACTATGATGTTTTGGATCTGAAAAGTGTGCGTTATTTCTGAGAGTTTGGAAATTTTTGAAAAGTCTTAGAGGAGACTGTTTTTTTAAGACTTGTTCGTTTTGAAGCTGGTAAACAACATATTATAGCTACTCAGCTGAGATAGTTATGGAATTGAAGTAGTCAATCAGGAGTTAAAAGGGGGCTAGGCTTTTATTTGGTTTATATGGTTGTGTTCACTTCTGCCTAGGGACAATTTTCCCAAAAGCAAATTAGCCTACCAGTATGTTTTTGAATTGTGGGAAACCATGGCTAACCCACACAAACACAAAGAGAACATAGAAGCTCAATGAATATAGTGCCTCAAGGCCCCAGTGATGCAATGCAGCAATGCTAACCACTATGCTACTCCTACTTTTAATTTATACATAACTCTGCAATTTGTAAACTATTATTCTGTTATTAAAATGTTATTCTCCTATTAGAATCCCATATAACCTAAGACTTAGTGTAACTGGTTTCTTTGGATAGGTTAAAGCAGATTTGAGAAAATGCATTAGAAAAGTAGACAGCAACAGTATCTTTACATCTCCGTCAGAGAGTGATCTCAACTATACGGGTAGTTCTTGATTTTACATTGTGCACTTTTGGTTTAACATGCCTTAAGAATACAGTACCACTTATATACCACTTGGTATATACCAATTAGGACACATTCTCACTTTAATGTGAGTAAGCGTGGTCAGCAACAGACAACTCAATGAGGTGTTTCAAGACAATGTATATAGGACATACCCAGTTGTGCACAGGGATGAGTGACACAGAGGACACTAGTAATCTATTTTTAGTGTTCTACCAGCCACCTATCATGACCCATTTTAACTTGCTTACAAAATACTGTATAGCATTTATAGCCTAAATATAAACTTCTTAGTCTATGCCTTATGTTGAAAGTAAGGTTTTGTGAAAAAAACATTACTAAAATTCAGTGCAAAGAATTTGAAAATAATACATTGTTTCCATTTAAAAAAAATCAGTGATAATTCAATTCAACTGACAAATTAATTCAATAAGTAAAATTACTAAAATAATTTTAAAATAAATACTGAAAAAATTAAGGTTACCTAAGAGGGGGAAATTAATAACTTCATTAATAATTCATAAGGTTACTTTAAAATAAATGTTATTTAAAGGGCTAGGACCAAAGATAGCTGTAGAGTCCAAATGTCCATTTGGGCATTGGACCCAGAACACATACTCCTATTTTTAATGTATGTGTTTTTGATATATGCAACAATTTCAGAAACACATTTGCCATAAAAATCGAGAACTACTTGTACAAAGAAGCAGATGATGATATCACAACACTATCATAAAGTTCTTTAATATCCTTTTCTTTTATTTTAAATTAATGCTCATATTTAAATTCTCACATCCGTATGAAAATTCTACAGTTAGAAATGCAAAATGGAACAAATGTAGAAAAGTATTTAAAGGCTGTAGTAGTTCAGTTGGGTAGTTGCTTCAGCATTCGTAGGCTGCAAAGGAACAAGTAATAAGTTCATTCCATGGTGAAAAGAGAAGAGAAGAAAACACGTTTCAGCCGTGGAGCCTTCTTTTTAATTTTTCATGTATGATCAGTTTCTGTTCTTATCAAAGCTAATTGCATTATCTAAAACAACCTTTAAAACCATGGTGTTGAGACTATGACCATGCACAGAATTACAGCGTTAAGTAAGTCTATATACTGTACCATTTTTTATCAGTATTCTCTGAATGTTAGGAGCTTTGTAATGCACCACACTTCCTTGTATGAAATGAACATTTTGCATATTTCTTATTTATTTCTTGTAATCAATCTGTTTTTCTCCTTTTAGGTCAGCAAGCTTCTCACAATGAATGTCATGTTCACTGGTCAAAAGTTTGCAAGGTAGGCTGTTGAAATGCACAAAATTATTTATAGGCATAAGCATGATTAAATGAAAAATATAGTTTTGGTTTGTTTTCTAACATGGACTTATTGATATTGAAAACACAAATATAAACATGTATTTACATGTTTCCTACAGATGCAGCCATCCAAAAGGATTATACCGCGTTAAAACGCGGTGGGCTTGTCGCGGTATAACACGGGTTACCGTATAATCCTGCATAATACCGCATAATACCGCAAGTAAGATAATAGTATTCAGAATTTCCGCCAGGTTGAGCTAATAAAGCTCAACCTCTCATGTACAGCATTTGAGCTGTCGCCATCAAAGTCTTTACCGAAGATATTACTGATAGTATTAATAATGAATGACCTTGGACAAGCTGTAAACTCAAAGTATTACCCTGGTCCACATTCTTTGTAACCGTCTTTGTAAACGAAAATACTTTATTTTTTTATTGACTGTATTTGTAATCAAAAATACTTTATTTTTTCATTAACAAAAAGTAACACCACAGCATCTCGTTGATCCAATCACGCATTTGTTTCCAATCATACAAAGTAATTCTTGAGAATCTACGATTCCCCATGCCTTTCACATGCTCATAAAAGACATTAATTTAGGAACATAAACATATTACTGTATGTAAACTGTACTGTATATGGCTGGTCTTGGTACTGTATTTTAAAGAAAAAATACACACCAGTATTCCATTTCTCCCTAAACATTTTAAGCATCAAAGTCTTACATTTGGTTATTTCGGAAACGTTTTTACATGCTCCTTGCTCCCTCTGACCATGTTACTGTGCTGGACGTTTATACAGTATACAGTACTCTGTGAGAAAAGTGATAATTTTAAGCTTTTCTGCGAATATGCTAGATACCGGAGTAAACAAGCATACTTTTAGAATTTGATTAATAGGGAATAGAATATTGGATTGTGTATGTAAAGAAATTAATAACGATATAATTCTATTCATGTACTGTAACACAAACAGTAGTATATACTGTACACATACAGTGTCTATTGATATGTGTAGGGCTGTTTCACCACTTGTCATGTGGCGATGTGGTTTAAGTGGCTGACTTATACGCAAGCGGACGGCTGTTCAAATCCAGCTAGCGCCACCATTTTTTTTTAACAAACATTTCTTTGAAAAAATAAAATAGCAATATTATGGACAATTAATTGACTTTTTTATATTTCTAAATATCACAACATGTTCGAATCTAAGTCATTTTTTAATAACACCGAATAGTCACAGTCTTTCCCTCTGAATCGCTCCAGTAGCAGGAACATGTATCACGTGGATCCCTTTAGATCTCCCTTCAGATTTAAAAGGTTATTAATAATATCTTTGGTGTCGCATCTTCCCAGTTTAGCTGATCTTTTGCTGCCTACACATGCTTACAGAGCCCCCTGGGTAAACTATCATACTTAACTGAGAAAGCTTTAGAGAACTTAACATTTTTATTATCAACAAATTGTAAATACGATGTTTACATTGGCCTTATTAATTTTTCACTTGAGTGTATGGAGGAGTGTCAGCTGTCAATGAGAGCAGACCCCCCCTCTTAGGCTGGGCAAATGATTTTTTAATTTTTAAAAAATAAATAAAAAATAGATATAATGATATAAACATTTACTGCAATACAATACTGCTACGTTTCAGCTATGAATCCTGCTTCACGTGTGAGGGTGAAATGCTTGGAGTTTGTAATGTAGGGCGCTCTAGACCAGCCATATACAGTTTACATAATATGTTTATGTTCCAAAATTAATATAGTTTATGACCTTCAGATGCATTATGCTCCTATTCTTTTCATGCTCAGCTACTAAAATTTCCCTTCAGTGGTAAAATTCCATATAAATATTCAATACTAAAATGTGCACAGTACAGACATTAAATGATTAAATCTTTCCATGACCGACAAACGCTCCACAAGTGCCCCTGTCGGTCATTTTGGCCAGCCAATCACGTACCGCGGTATGACGCGTTATGATGCTTTATGACGTAGGGAAATGCCTACGGTACGTGTTTGTACCGCCCACTTTGAATGGCTGCATCTGTATGTGTCCTATGTGTTTCCTGTACTGTACACGCATTGGATTAAATTGTAGAATAACCTAGTGCATAAATTACTGGGTCCTGGTGAGCAAAAAAAATCAACAGGTAAAACAGATAATTTTCCACATGATTTGTAAATGTTTTCAGATTACATAATATTTCTCTATCAGTGTCATCAGGAGGTTTTCATAATGTGTGAGACTGAACTGTAGACTCAGTTGTAAAGGAGGTGTCTCCTTTACAGTGCTACCCCTTTTTCTTCTTATATCCTCTTTTCTAAGATTCTTGTTTCCATGTGATCCTTTTATCCTGTCTTCTGTCCTAATCCTTTAAGAACTTAACGATTTAACTGCAGATTGTTTAGCTTTAGATAAAACATTTACAATGTTTGGCCATGTTTGACTGTTTCAAGGCTAAGATATAACCCATTTCCATGAGCATGTGACCTCCCAAGCAAACATATTGGTGAAATCACACAGCTGCTCAGCACCAGACCAACCCCAAAAACCTGTTTGTTGAAAAACATGTTTGATCACTGTGCATAGGCATATCTTGAACCCTGGTCATGGATTTCTGGTATTAGCACTCTATTGTATGAGCTGTAACACAACAGGAAGGTTAAGTTAATTAGCTTTTGTAGTTACTGCATACAAATGCATCCTTACACAAAATTATTATAGTTCTTGCGAGGATATTTATTCTGTGATAAGAATACCTTTGAGTTCTGAGAACATCAGAAAAAGGGGCAAAAAATAAAGTTTTGTAAATTTATTTCAGCTTCCAGCTGTCACTGTTCTAACCTGTAGAATTTCCATTCCATGTTTTTACCTGTTACTTCACCAATTGCTATCGAAGTTTTATGAACTTATGTCTATCATACTTGCAATTTAATAAACATAAAATTACACATTCATTTTATACATCACAGTTATTTATATTACTTTCCATAGGTACCGTACAGTACTTTGTGCTGAAAAATATGATCAGATGTTTAGCAATAAATAAACAAATGGAATGGCTGAAAGCAGTTTTATTGATTATGCTTACATTCTCTTATTACAGCACTGTTTGGGAATAAATTATATTTTAAATACTACCTTGAGTAAATTAAGTCAGCATCTAAGGTATAACTTAGACTTTACCATTTCTTGCTATAATGCATAATGAACAGAATCTAGAACAGAATAAGAACAGCTAATCTGCAGTAATCAATTAAAATCCATAGTTATTTCAGAACAGTTTTTATATTTTCAATATGACTTTTGTCACATTAGTGCCTAAAAATGTCTTAAATGAATAGTGCTACTAAAAACTACTGTACATCCAAGCAAACTCTTGGTAGTCTGTGTGTGACATGCACATATGCACATAATGTATTCATATTTATTTTGAAAATATTCATATATTTCTTCTTACATTTGGTAATGGTACAGATGCAGCCATTCAGAATGCATGTCAAAACTGGTGTCTGCAGTAAGCAAGATGCACTGACCGGAGTATGATTCAGCTTGCAAATTTAGCTTTTTACTACCCAAAGAACATTGATACAGTAGATGGGATTTGTGGTGAAATAGACACGTATCGCTAAGTACCGGTACTATTAATATCTCTCAGTCAAATACTCCATTTTGCAAAAAAAAATATTGATTTGAAACCTTTTGCATCATGTGTTTTGTGTCATCCAATGAATAAAATGATGATATTCAAACTTTTGAAATGCACGCATTGATAGGCCATTTGTTATGATACATCATTCTTCAAAGTCACCCTAGTCTATAACATGAACGGCTGTTCTGGTAATCACACCCGTGCTGGCACTACAGGGGGGCATTGGGAGGCAATGCCCCCACCCCCCCAAAAACTGTCAATGCTCTAATTCAGGGGCATAGGTACGGGTGAGCCTGGCCCACCCAGTCAAAGAGAGATTCCTCTCTGACCCAGTCAATTAAAAGAAAAAAAAAGGTGGTGTGATGATTGTCATAGCGTTTCTAACCAATAAGAAAATGAAACAAATAAAATTGGGAGGTCAATGTGATACAATTGGCTAAGTCGCTGTCAAACTCTTGATGTTGGAGTAAAACAAAAAATCCTGCCAGTTGTGGTAAAAAATCAAGTAAGCTACTTACATACGAGCTTGCCAAAGTCAATCATGGAAAACGAATCTCATTTAAAAGAAGCACGCTTTGACAGGTCCAATTCTGGACAGTTATCATATTCAATGTCAAGCCTGTATTTGCTTTGTGATGTACACCAAACATCACACGCCAACTCAAAATACATCATTAGACTAAATAAGGCCTGTTTTCATGATTACATGTTATTATTTCCGTGCCAGCCATGGCATCCCTGTGTGACTTCTGTAAAGTTTTCTAACTTAATTGTGCTTGCTAGAATTTTGTTGGGACAGTTTGTTGGTTAGCATTGGCATGCCTTTGTTCATTAGTCTGTAGCTAGCTGTTTTTCCATAGATGGTTTTACATAATTTTTTTTCTTCATGTTGCATTTTGCTTTCGGAGTCTATTTCTGTTTGCTTTATGGCACGTATGGGTACGTTTGTTAATTCACCTGCAATGCCTGGTGGTGCACTGGTTCAGTGCACTGGTTCTGGTGTCTGTAAAGCAGAAGTCTCTTTATTTCATATGCATATGTAACCACCGGACTTAAAAATAAGTAGCTAAAGATGGTCTTTTATACCGAGCAACAAAGTTACTACGACACATTCTAAACAAATGATAAGACAGCAACACATGCCAATATTGTTATTAATTATAACTTAGTTGCAGACTAGACAACAGTTAGTTCTTTTCATGTTCTGGTTGACAGATAGCTTATCAAATACATGCCCTTTATCTTACTGACCAAGGACAGGCAGCATCTTTATGTATTTGGGCGCAAAGCCAACTTCAAGCCACTAAACTGCATAGTTTGCA